CCATTAGGGAGGGAATTCCAGGATTTTAACCCAGTGACAGTGAAGAAACAGTGATATATTTCCAAATCAGGATGGTGAGTGGCTTGGAGGGGAACTTGAACCTAGTGGCGTTCCCATGTATCTGCTGCCCTTGTACACACTGCTACTACTGAGCCTCGGTCTTGGAGGATGTGGACGCTTGTGGATGTGGTACCAATAGGTGTGCTGCTTTGTCCTGGATGGTGTCAAGCTTCTCAAGTGTTGTTGGGACTGCACACATCTAGGCAAGCAGAGAGTAATCCATCACACTCCTGACCTGTGCCTTGCAGATGGTGGACAGGTTTTAGGGAGTCAGGAGGTGAGTTACTCATCATAGTATTCCTAGCCTCTGGCCTGCTCGTGTGCAAGAACATTAACTTGTTGACTCCATCAACATGTCACAGCAATGAAGAGCGAGCACCCACAAGCAGGACAAGCAATCCACTCAGAAGACAACACAATCCAGATGGATTAAATGTCAATTTTATGTTTTAATTGTTTCAGGAGTCTTAGGCCAATGCCAACGTTCGTTACCTTTCCCTCATTGGCCTTGAAAAGGTGGTGATGAGTGGTATTTGTGGTTAAAAATTAGTATGGTGAAATATTGAAATCACGATTGCGAGAACGCAAGGGTCTTAAATTTGCGATTACGAAACTCAATCCTATCAAGGGCCTCTCTTTTAACACTTCAGAAAGGCACACTTTCTGCTTTTGACAACATTACGTCTCCTCCCAAATTCAAACGCATAATACTTCTGTAATTTTTATTGAACTACAACGATGCAAGACCTCACTTATGAAATGCATCGGAGACTGAGCGTAACTTTACTTCACTGGCTTCACTCTGGAGTACCCGTCCCTAAGTTTAATTCCCAGTTGAGTGAATATGATCTTGATTGTTTCACTGAATACTGAATACTCTGGAACAACTACAATATGTGAAGCTGCTACAGATAGCATTTTATTTCTGCATTCTTTTAAATTATAAAGTTTGGTCACTAAGAAAGTTGGACTTTTTTCTTCATATTTATAATCTAAATAAGTTTGCCATAATTTTCATGCAATAAATTAGCAATATGAGTATTAGTAAAGGTAATTTAGTTATTAGCGCGATTGGTTCTAGGAACGTGAGAAAGAAAACTATTATCATATGGCAAAGCTTTCTCCCAATAGCAACTAGCTGATATTCATACTGTCCATATTCCATTCTAGCAGATTTAGCAACAATATTGCTTGTGGAGAATATAATTACAGAAACAATTGACTTCAACCTCACATACACAAAGTCCATAACAAGTGTCCAAACCTTGAGGGAAAGTAACAGAGTGGCTCATAACAGGGTCCTTTGTAAGTGTGGGATAGGTCTTCAAAAACTGAGGAGACAAAGGATTAGACTGGCTCTCTGTTGGACATAAGGCAACTACTTGACACAAGAACGGACTAACATCACCTATTTCGAGGAGGCAGTCTTAAAGCAATGCATTGGCAGTCCCACTCAAAGGCCACAAGAAGAGGGGAACAAAAAGGTCACACTAGCTGAGAAGACATTCTACAGAAGGCAGAGATTATACATATGCACATTGTTGGAGAAGGTGAGAAGATTTACTCTGCATCTGACTGACATTTTATTCTTTATCTGACTGAATACTTGGTGCCGGCACCATGAGCCAGAGAGTGAAAAGTCACTCTAAAATCTACATTCCTTATCGAGTGTAAGGAACTCGCTTTGTAAATAACTTAAGATATATGAGACATGGTCCAAAAAGGGCAGCGATCACCCAAAATGGTAAATAAACTTGTATTTTGATGATTGGATGATGAATTGTGCAATTTTATGTGAATATGAAATCTAAACCTAGAGCATCTTGTGAGCCAGTGGTAGTGACCCTACTTCTAGGCCAGATACACCAGGTTTAACTTCCATCTGCCCCAGAATTATATTACAACAAAAAGCTCTTTTTAAAAGAAATAAATTTACCAAGGGAAAAATTTAGATTGGATGACCTTCCTGTAGTACTACCAAGATCAGCGACAAAAAAAAAATGCACTGCACCTGTGTATTCCCACGTACCTGCTTTCACTCCAGTGTCACAGGCTCTCATTCATCATCTGACCTAGCCCTCAGACTACAGAAAGGAGAAAACAAGAGCCACTGACATAAGCATTACAGAAAGTTGTTGCAAAGGATATCCACTATAATGTAGCCAACTTTATTTATGTAAAATACCTCACTTCTAAGAACAAAGATTTTTCTGTCCCCCACCCAAAAAATAAATCAAGGTTTCCCGGCCTAAATCTCACAAATCAGTGAGCCTCAAGTTTCTTTTAGCATAAGAAAGGGCACTATTTCGCTGCAGGTCTACAAACCCAGTTCTCATATCATACATACATTTAAACCAAATTAGAAGGAGCTACTGAAAAAAGATTAGATCACTGCGGCACGGTGGCTCAGTGGTTAGCATTGCTGCCTCACAGCGCCAGGAACCCAGATTCAATTCCAGCCTTGGGTGACTGCTTGTGTGGAGTTTGTGCATTCTCTGCGTCTGCATGGGTTTCCTCACGGTGCTCCAGTCTCCTCCCACAGTCCAAAGATGTGCAGGTTAGGTGTATTGGTCATGGTAAATTGCCCGTAGTGTCTAGGGTAGGAAATGCAGGGATAGAGTAAGGGGTGGGTCTGGGTGGGACGCTCTTTGGCAGATTGGGATGGGCCTAATGGCCTGCTTCTGCACTGTACAGATTCTATGATTGTCAGCTTTGCATTATTCTATATTCTACTTGCACAATCCTACTCATGAGTGAATTACACTTAAAAACTTGAAATACTGGATACAAACTCGCACCTTATATACAGACTGAAGGATGCGCATCAAAATTTCAGAGTCCGTCATCTAAAAATGTTAGAATGCTTTTAATGCCAATGTTTAGCCTACAGGGAATACATAAATATTTTCATTCTAAGAATAAATGAAATAGAAGAAAAAAGAATAAGTACTAATTGTGGATTTTTCTTTTAAGTCTATTACCTACTCCAACTTCAGATCAATGCATTGGATATACACTCCTAACAATACAAATATGTATCTTTTCTAAAGATGTATAAATATCCCTGTTTCCAAACCACCATTACTAATTTATTTTAAATGAATGAATTGCTGAATGAGCTGAAGTAACAAGCAGAAACATGTACAGAAGTGAAATTTTAAAAATCAAGACAATGTGGTCCTAAACACTTTAAATAGCATTAAAAACCAACAACAACAGTTTGGTTGAATTGGTAGCACACTGACCTCTGATATCTAGTCAGTTCAAACCACATTTTAGAAATCGGGCACACAAAATAGATAAATTATCAGTGCCACACAATGGATCAAATAAAGACCTAGTCCAGCTATTCAAAGGTTCAGGTCTGATTAAAAACATTAAATGTGTTGTGAAGTTGGGTATTGTACTGGTGGACTGGGAGGTGGGAAGTTAGAATTTGGTGTTTGTAAAATGCTGGAGGAGGCGGGGGGGCAGAAGCATTGTCTGGTCCCTTTAAAAGACAATGTGCTTTTTCTATTCTTAGAGATTTAAAATGGATGTCTGTCAACAGCAGCTTGAAAGTCTACAAGAACAGAGTATCCGAATTTAAACATTTGTATCGAGAGGCCGTACAGTTAGCAGGCCAAGCAGCAGCTTTTACCAAGATAACAAGCTTTTGAATTTAGCCAATCAATTTGAACCAGGCACTTAGATTCCAAAAACCAATTAAATTTAAATCTGATGGTTTTGACAACACAAGATCAATCCTATTGTAAGAAATACAAATATGTCATCAAGGGTATAAAAGAAGAGTGCAGTTGGGCATAGCCCCAGAGCTAACTGCCATCCACCAGAGCTAACAGCCCTCAGCTCTCAAGAGAGAATCGCTGGCTCTCACAGTCTCCTCAATGTCTTAGAGAGGGCAATATCTAAATAACAAAAGTGCCCACGGCACAACTAGTTAATATTCCTGACAAAAGAGTCGTCAGAGAAGGCATAGAACATTCTGGAAGAGGTCACCTGGCAGTAATTTCGGGAGACTAAATTCCATGGTTTATATTTTATACAAGTGGGACTTGTATTTATTGAAACAGCATACCATTAAAATCTTGCTTTATAGTTAAGAATAGTTAGTAGTTAGAAGGGATTTATTCAGTGTGTTAATAGTTTAGTTACTTGGTTCACTGTTGAAGTTAGATAAATAAATTGTTACTTGTTGATTTTAAAGTGAGTGTCAGGGATTTATTTTATTTATCCACTGGAAGTTGCTGAAAGGCAGGTTACACACCTCTTTTCGCACTCCTTTTACAGATTATAGGGCGAAGTGCTCATCTTTGGGTGTTTAGGTTTTAGTTCTTAGAGGGCGGTCAACCTTCATTTTATACCAAAAGGTCATACTCAAAGAGCAGGGAATATTCCTGATGTTCTTCCAATACGCCATCCTCAACCACCAGTAATAAATTAGTCAGTCATTCTTCTTGGAACTGTTTATGTAATTTTACATTATACAGCATTGATGCTGTGCCTTGAATTTAATGGCTGCTGCACTCCAGAAGCAATTAATTGTAAGTGATGCACTCTGAGCCCATTAAGAAATGCAATCAAGTGCTATTTAAATGCAACTCTCTTTTCTCCTTTTAGTACCACTGAATATATTAAGAAGTTACCAAATAAGTATATTAGGATTTTAAGTCTGCTCTAAAGGTTAAGTGTTGTGCTGTTGTTCAAGTACCGAAACACTTGCTACACAACAATCATGATGACTGAGGGGCAAACAGCAGGGAGGAAGGGGCGGGAGGGTGAAAGAAAGCTCAGTCTGATCTTTCCCCCTTCGACAAGGCCTTTTCAGACAAACTGCAACTGACCTTCTATGCTTAGCGGAATTAAAAGGCAAGTGTATTTCATAACTATGTGCCTTTAAAATGTTTTAAAGACACCTACTTATTAATTTTCATACATACCTCTGCCACTAAATATTTTCTGAAACAGCTTCAGGTTGTCTGTTGATCATGTGACAATCCCGTGGACACTGAAAAAGCATGTACAATTTTTCAATCCTAGAGGCTCAGTGACACAGTACAACCACTCTTCAGTATTAGTGTAAGGAAAGCATACAAGAAGATCCATATCACACAATGATCATTCAGAAAAGAACATTCCCTAAGATTATCCCACAATGGTTAAAGTCTATCCCCAATGAATTGGAACAAAGCAGTCAAATTCTCCAAAAGTAAAAAATTCTATTCATTAAAATAAACAGAGAAGCAAAAACCTTCCATACCTAATTTTAACTCTTCAATTAAATTATGTTAAAATATCTGATGTACATATCTTTCAAGAGACAACTGGTAAAGATAATTCTCATTTTGGGCTGTTCAGCCATTTATAGTTAAAAGTATTACCACAATCAATTGCCCAATCTAGTTCTGGTATGCAACTGTATACAGTTGCACAAGTGTTACTGGTGCCTAAAAGAAAACTGCAACTTCAAATTAAAAGTAAATGATGTGAACAAACCGACTCTTAACAACAAAAACTACAGTACAGTTCAGTACAGTTTAAATCATTCGATCCCCCGATAATTTCATAGGCCAAACCAGAGACCCAGACGTCTCTACCCCCACATCAACCCACAAGTTTCAAAGGAGCTTTCATTTCCTTTTTTAAAACCTTTGTTGTATGAATCCTAACTTTAAAGCCTACTTATTTTGCGTTAAACAACATGACATTTTGTAAAAGAAATTACACACATTTAGAATATAATAAAAAAAGGAGAAAAGGCTACTTTCATTTTTCACCACGTTGTGGGCCGCGTGGGGGGGGGGGGGACGGTGGTGATGGGAAGAACATGGTTCCCCCTAGGCCCTAGTCATAAATAAAACCGAAATTCAAGAGCCCAATGCAGAAAAAAAACTCAACAAATACTAGGATCGAACTCAACCGAAAGCAGGCGCCGTGCATTTGCCAAGCACAGAGAAAACAATACCCAAAATTATATACAATAGACCCTGAAATATGGACTTAACTTTGGAGGTGAAACAAGTTACAGACCGGCTGATCATGTCCAGCCAATTCCTCTAAGCTGTGCAGGCTGTACAAGTGAAACGAGCTAAAAAGCTGCTTTCTTACCTCTCTCCAGGGCTTTCAAATCTGATCCAAATCCAACTGGGTGCGGAGTGAAGCTCTGTGTTGTTGTGTTGTTTTGCAGTGTCTCCAGGATATCGGGCTGTGTATGCCGTGTGAATGTTTGACTGTAGACAGCCCCCGGTGGTTACCGTCCTCCTGCAGTTCCCCACACAAGCCTGAGGTTTCAGTTTACAGAGAAACGAAGCACACTCCACTCTACTAGCCTGCCTCCCCCTCTTCCAAGGGCTTGATAGGCTAAATCCAGGTCACATCTCCCCAGCCTCCCAAATTCTTACACAGCAACACAACGTCAAGCCAACCAAAAAACAATCCCTTTCCCAGAAATTATCCCACTGGCTGCGAGATGATGAAGAAGAAGGAGGAAAAAAAAATCAGCTGGTTTACATCACCCACCAACCATATTTTCAACTTGCAACAAACGTCATCTATGCTTTCCTCGCGGGTGCAGTATTAATTCGAAAAGGGGCTGAGTTTTGCAATTTTTTAAATATTTTGAACAAGGTCACAATAACTTTTTTTAAGAAACAATACAATTCCAATTGTTTCTGATGCTGCTTGGCCTGCTGTGTTCATCCAGCTCTACACCTTGTTATCTCACAATTCCAATTGAACTGTTTAGTTAGTTAAATCCTGCATTTTTTCCCTCTCTGTCCTTGATTAACAGTGCAGCGCAATTATCGCTTCCATACCAGAGTTTGTTTATATCCTTTTATTTCCTTTCGTGTGTATTTTTAAATCGACAAGACAGGAAAAGGAGTATGACGGGCGGTTGTCACGCGAGAGAGAGAAAACCTTTAGACTTATTTTGTTAGATTTTTCTCACCCCCCGCCCCCCCGAAATAAAAGCACTCAGGCGAAAGGGGAAAGTGCTGAGGTTTCGCTGTCGTGAAGCAGGGAGAATAATTTATTTTTTGGTCATTGGAACATGGGCGGTAACCATCCCAGCCTGCAATATGAAAGTAAAATCGAGAGCAGGCGACAATTTAACAAAATCCCCAGGAGTAACCTCGTCCTTCATGTTGCTCCTGAAAGACCCTTGACGACCCAGCATTCGAAAATAGAACGCGTATGCCCGGCTTCACGTTCCAAATTAGAACCTTCGGTCCCCAACGTTCGAAAATAGAACGGATCGCCGGCCAGTGCCGCGTTCTAAAATAAGAACCTTCGCTGTTCCCGGGTTCTGTTCTGGAGTTTTAACACTTTTCCTAATCGTTTGATTAAGATCGGGAAATGGAAATTTAAGATCTGCCCCTCAGAATAAAGCAAAAACCTTCCGACCCACACACTCTCTGCCAAAGTCTGTCCGCGAACCCAAAGCTCACACAATCCTATCGAGCGGCTGTTTGTACAGTACAGCTCTGCTGGGGCTGGGTTGCTTTTTTTCTGTTGTATTTGATCAGCGTAATTTGACAGCAGGAAATCCCGCCTCTCACTGGGCAGCTATTAGTGCTTGGATTGCTTTTATTAGGTTGACAGGGGGTGGGAAAATGTAATGTCAATGTGGCGCCCTTCACTGTGAGGACGATAAAGTACGTTCCCGTTTATGCAGATATCCCCTGTCCGTATGATTTGCAGAGCTTGCAGTGGTCAGTAATGGTACCGCTTTATTAAATGCGCATGATTCATCCTCTACTCCATGCAGGACGGTAAGTGAGATTTCAATGAAATCCGATGGCTCCAAACGGGATGTACACCGAGATAAACATTGGTATGCTATTGCAGAGAATCGAACTGCTTTTTTGACTCTGTATATACAAATATATATTTTTATGATTTAAAAAACCGAGATAAACATCGTTAGAAATCGCACTATACCAGGTTTCAGTCCAACAGGTTTATCTGAAATCACAAGCTTTCTAAGCACCGCTCCTTGGTCACTTCACTTTCTTGACTTCACCTGACAAAGGAACACTCCTCCAAAAGCTTGTGATTTCAAGTAAACCTGTTGCAATATAGCCTGGTGTGGTGCAATTTCTGACTTTGTCCACCCCAGTCCAACATTAACTGCGCTTGGAGAAACATCAACTCAGGTGAAAGACCGTCTTTAGTCTGCCCGAAACTTACTGGTCTTCCAGACCAAGGAGTTGCAGACTGGCACATTCCAACATCTAGGACTACATGCTGAGGGATGTTTTGAGTTTATAGTCAAACAAATTGCTGTGGGTCTGGAGTTATTTGTAGGCTAGACGACGTAAGGGTGGCAGTTTCCTTCCCTAAAGGATATTAGTGAACCAGATGGGTTTTTCCAACAATCAGCAATGGATTCATGGTTACCATGAGACTCTTAATTCCAGATATTTATTGAATTCCTATTCCACCATCTGCCGTGGCAATATTCAAACCCGGGTCCTCAGAATATTATCTGGGTCTCTGGGTTAACAGGTCAGCGATAATACCACTAGGCCATTGCCTCCAGTTTAGTGTTGGAGCTTCTGTTATGTTTAAAGTTTCAGCCTTGGCACATATGTGACAGCAGTGCTACTGCAGTGTCAATGGTGCTATGTTGGTAGTTGCAACAAAATGAGAGACACCGTTGCATGTGAGGCATCTGATGGAGATGTCTGGTACTCGACTTCCTGTAGGGCATTTCTCCACGGTGGCAACCTTACAATGTTAACTCTCTCTCTGTCTCTCTCTCATAGGAGCATGAAGCATTGAGTAAACAGTGGTGCATACCCTGGCAGAACACCTCAGAGCATACATCCTCCTTCAGCACTGAAACCAGGTCTTCTTGAGCCACTCATAGGCTCTGACTTCTGCAGCCATACCATTCCAGGCTGCCCATGTTATTTGGGTTGGTCTTTTTATTGTCATCCATTTGGAAAGTAAATTCCTGTGTTTCCTGGAAATCTTTATGAAGGCATCACTGAGTCATGGTGTCACTTTATGCCTGGTCTCTGAGATCTCCAGGATTGGCTGGGGCTGATGAATAGAGGTTGAGTGATACACTTGCATTGCAGAAAGTGAAGTTATGTCCGGGTGCCTTTTTAGATATGGAGCCTGGATTTTGGAGCCTGTATTGTCCTGGTGGGTTTCAGAATTCCCTGCCCACAAAATGTGGAGTTCAACCCATGCACACACATGTAATAAGCTGAAAAAACATAATTTCAAGAGAAAATGTGGCCTGTCCTCCCCACTGAAGCAGAAAACCCTTCCACCTTTAGGACCGTGCGCCTGCCCCGGGTGTCTGTCATCGGAGAAGGTCTTTGTAAAAAATATTTCCAAAGACCAACATTGTACATGAAACTGAAAATAAAACCAAAAAATAGCATTGAATCTGAATTGTTAATTTACCTTAATTTTTATTGTGCTATGAATATTACTATGATGCTAACTGTGGGATTTATAGTCCATGTAATTTATTTTAATGTTATATGGGTTTCTGATTTTTGAGTTTGTAAATAGTTGATTTTCTTTTTGTGTCTGAAGTTAATAGCTAACTTGTAAGTATTTCTGTAACCTTGGCGATTTCTTTTAAAATCATGTTTTGAAGTCTGGCTGTAAAGTTAATAGATATGCATTTTTACCAGACTTTTGTTTATTTAGATTGCTTTGTGACCCAGCATGGTAAATAGTGGGGCCTGAAAGGTTTGTTCAAGTGTTCTGGGATTTGTTTTTATTAAGCTTAAGGAAAACACTGATCCGCGAGAAATGTTTTGTTTTACTTTTTACTTTGAATGGAGCAGTCCTGTGAAGTCCTTGGAACAGAATGACTGTAGAGAGCAGTGCTTCTGAGAATGGCATAATACACATAGCGAAGAGTTGAAGTGTTTGGATATAAATACATAAATTGAGTACAATGAAGCTGAGCTATATTGTGGCTCCAGGAAGAAACAATCATAATTTTAATCTAAAATCTGAAGTCGAAGATGATTTTAAATTTACTGAGGTGTCAGACACAAGGGCTCTGGTGTGAAACGTACATGAATAGTGTTTTGGGAACAATTCCTGTGGTGTGTGTTTGGTACTATACAAGAAATATTTGGTTTTTTTTTTACAAAAAAGTGTTTTGGAATTAATGAGATTATGCTTTTGTTTAAAATCTTTGAAGTTGTGTTATAAGGAGGTGGTTTGGATTACTCTATCTTTGGAGATAGCAAGAACTGCAGATGCTGCAGTCAGAGCCAATACAATGTGGAGCTGGAGGAACACAGCAGGTCAAGTAGCATCAGAGGAGCAGGAAAGTTGATGTTTCAGTTTTACACCTTTCATCAGTCCTGATGAAGGGTGTAAACCCGAAACGTCAACTTTACTGCTCCTCTAATGCTGCCTGACCCTCTCTGTTCCTCCAGCTCCACATTATTGACTCTGTTTTATCTTTGTTCCCATTTTATAGGTAAAGCAAAACTGCAGCATTGCAAGTTTATGTTTCAGTGAGAGATGATTACATTAAAATCAAAACAAATAAAAATATGACCCGTCAAGCCAGGTTCCTGACTGGAATCTGACTTGTCTGGTAATGACATCAGTTATGTTCAAAACAGTTATTGAAATGTATTCTCTGGAGTTGGAAAATCAAATTGGTGTGAATGGTTTCTGCTACATAACTGTTCTGTGTTGGTATATTTGGAAAGAAAAGAATGAACTGAACTGAACTGATTAGTCAGTTTCTGCTGTTGAATGCTTCCTCATTCATAACTACAAACAAATTCAGCCACCTCTGTAAACTCTGTGCTTCAGGCTCTTTTCTTTGTTAAAGATGCCAAGGGTAAAATTCCAAGAGGATACATTCACATTTTTGCCATAACTTCAGTGAACGCACCACAAAAACTGTTAACTGCAGTTTGCACCATATTTTCACAAAGAAAACCTTAACAAAATTTACCGTCACTACTGAGTGCTGTTTTACCAACCACTGGCAATTTGGGTTGGGATTTGGTCCTCCATTCCTTGTCGAGTCTACTGTCCTGTCTAATTGTCAGTGGAGATGGATAAACCACTAGTGAGTCTTAACAAGAAGAAGCACTTGTACAGTCATAGAGCATGGAAACAGACTCTTGGGTCCAACTAGTCCACGCTGACCATGTTCCCAAACTAAACTAGTTCCACATGCCTGCGTTTGGCTCAATACCTCCAAACCTTTCCCATTCATGAACTTATCCAAACATCATTACAATGTTGTAACTGTTACCTGCCTCTACCACTTCCTCTAGCAGTTCATTCCAGTCTGTGTTTTTAAAAAAAAAATGCTGTCCCTCATGTCCTTTCCAAATCTTTCTCCTCTCACCTTAAAAATATGACCCCTCGTTTTGAACTCCCCCACTAGGGAAAAGACTTTTTACTATTCACCTTAACCATGCCCCTCATGATTTTATAAACCTCTATAAAATCACCCCTCCACCTCCTACGCTCCAGTGAAAAAAAGTCCCAGCCAATTTTGTAACTCAAACCCTCCAGTCCCAGCACCATCCTTGTAAATCTTTTCTGAACCCTCTCCAGTTTAATAATATCTTTCTTACAACTGGGAAGTCAGAACTGCACACAGTACTCCAGAAGAGGCCTCGCTAATGTCCTGTACAACCTCCACATTATGTACAAACTCCTATATTCAAAGGACTGAGCAATGAAGGCAAGCATGCTAAACACCTTCTTAAATCACCCTGTCTACCTGTGATGCAAATTTTAAAGAATTTTATACCTGACTCCCGGGGGTCTCTGTTTTCCAACATTACCCAGGGCCTTATCGTTAATTGTATTTACCAAAATGCAATACCTCGCATTTCTCCAAACTAAACTCCATCTGTGCTCCTCATCCCATTGACCCAATTGATCGAGATCTCTTGGTAAGCTCAGCCTTCTTCACTGTCCACTACACCAATTTTGGCATCATCCACAAATTTAATAACTATGCCTACTACAAAATCACAGAATCCCTACAGTGTGGACACAGGTCATTTGGCCCAACAAGTCCACGCTGACTCTCCGAAAAGCAAACCACCCAGACTCATCTCCCTACCCGTTCCCTGTAACTCTACATTTCCTATGGCTAACGCACCTAACCAGCACATCCCCGAACAATATGAGCAATTTAGCATGGCAAATCCACCTAGCCTGCACATCCAAGGACTGTGGGAGGAAACCAGACTACCTGGCAGAAACCCACACATACACAGGGAGAATGTGCAAACTACACACAGACAGTTGCCCGAGGGTGGGGGAATTGAACCTAAGTCTCTTGTGTTGTGAGCATTCTCATCATTTCTATAAATGACAGACAAAAGCGGACCCAGTATCGATCTCTGTGGGATACTGCTGGTCACAGACCTCCAGTCCGAAAAACAACCCTCCACCACCACCCTCTGTCTCCTACCATAAGGCAAATTTTGTACTGAATTGGCAAGCTTACCCTGGATCCCATGTGATCTAACTTTACTAATTAGTCAAAGGCTTTACTAAAATCTATCGCTCTGCCCTCAATCTTTTTGGTTATTTCCTCAAAAAGCTTAATCAAGTTTATGAGACACTATTTCCTCCTCAAAACCATTCTGACTATCCCTAACCATTCCTTGCCTCTCTGAATTCATGTAAATCCTACCTGTCAGAATCACCTCCAGTTTATAGTTTATAGTTTCTAGGCTTCTCCTTTATCACTTTTCTTAAATAAAGGTACAACATTAGCCACCCACCTCCAGTCTTCTGGAACCTTGCCGGTGGTTATAGATAATACAAATTTTTCTGCTGGGGGGCCCTACAATTTCCTCCCTAACTTCCCACAATGTCCTGGGATATACTTAGTCATAGAGATATACAGCATAGAAACAGACCCTTTGGTCCAACTTGACCATGCGACCAGACATCCTAAATAAATCTAGCCCCATTTGCCAGCATTTGGTCCATATCCCTCTAAACCCTTCCTATTCATATACCAATCCAGATGCCTTTTAAATGCTGTAATTGTACCACTTCCTTTGGCAACTCGTTCTATACACGCACCACCCACTGTGAGAAAAAGTTGCCCCTTAGGTCCCTTTTAAATCTTTTCCCTCTCACCTTAAACCCTGAGGAAAAGACCTTGGCTATTTATCCTATCCATGCTCCTCATGATTTTATAAAACTCCATAAGGTCACCCCTCAGCCTCCGACGCTCCAGGGAAAATAGCCCCAGTCTATTCAGCCTCTCCCCATAGCTCAAACCCTCCAACCCTGACAACATCCTTGTGAATCTTTTCTGAATCCTTTCAAGTTTCAAAACATCCTTCCTATAGCAGGGAGACCAGAATTGCATACAGTATTCCAATAGTGGCCTAACCAGTTTCCTGTACAGCCTTAACATAACCTCTCAACTCCTATACTCAGTGCACTGACCAATAAAGGCAAGCATACCAAGTGCCTTCTTCACTGCCTTAATTACCTGCAACTCCACTTTCAAGGAACTATGAACCTGCACTCCAAAGTCTCTTTGATCAGCAACACTCCCCAGGACCTTACCATTAAGTATATAAGTCCAGCCGTGATTTGCCTTTCCAAAATGTTACAACTCATATTTATCTAAATTGAACTCCATCTGTCACTCCCATTGGCCCATCTGATCAAGATCCTGTTGTACTCTGAGGTAATCTTCTTCACTATTCACTACACCTCCACTTTTTGGTGTCATCTACAAACTCACTGACCATATCTCCTACGTTCACATCCAAATCATTTATATAAATGACAAAAATCAGTGGACCTAGTACTGATCCTTGTGGCACACCACTGGTAATAGGCCTCCGGTCTGAAAAGCAACCCTCCACTATCATCCTCTGTCTTCTACCTTCGAGCCAGTTCAGTATCCAAATGGCTAGTTCTCACTCTATTCTGTGTAATCTAACCTTGCTACCGGTCTACCATGAGGAACCTTGTTGAATGTCCATACAGATCATGTTCACTGCTCTGCACTCAATAATCTTCATCGTTACTTCTTCAAATAACCATAATCAAGTTTGTGAGACACGATTTCCCACGCACAAAGCCATGCTGACCATCTGTAATCAGTCCATGTCTTTCCAAATATATATAAATCCTGTCCCTCAGGATTCTCTCCAACAACTTGCCCAGCAGTGATGTCAGGCAGACTGGTCCATAGTCCGTGGCCTTTTCTTACCATCTTTCTTACATAGTGGTACCATGTTAACCAACCTCCAGCCTTCTGGCACTTCACCTGTCGCTATCAATGATACAAATATCTCAGCAAGAGGCCCAGCAATCACTTCCCTAGCTTCTCACAGAGTTCTAGGGTACACCTGATCAGGTCCCAGGGATTTATCCACCTTTATGCATTTTAAGATGTCCAGCAC